AGATGGGGACACCACAGGGGACAGCAAAGGACCCCTGGTTGGACACCTCAAGAGGTGGGGACACCAAAGGACACAAATAGGGACACGAAAGGACCACAAAGGGACACATTGAGGACACAGTGGGGATGTGTATGAGGAGGTGGGTGCACGTAGGACAGCAGGGGACACCAAAGAGGACATCTCAAGAGATGGGGACACCAAAGGGGACACCTCAAGAGCTGGGGACACAAATGGGGACACCTCTCACCATCATCCCCCTCCACAGGGTAGGTGAAAGTGACGAGGACACCGAAGGTGACAGCATGGGGACAGCCAGGGACACGCAGCTCCGTGGGGCCAGCCAGGGGTCGTGGTTCCACCTGTTGCCACATAGACGTTAGGGACACGTCCTGGGACACGTTGGGGACACTTTGGGGACAAGGTCACCTCCACATCAGCCACAGCAGAGCGCAGGGCACACGACCAGTTGACCAAACGCCGATCGCGTCGCACCAACCCAGCGCGGTGCAGCCGCACAAACGCCTCCGTCACCGCCCTGGAGAAGCCCTGGGGACACCGTGGGGACACCATGGGGACAAATGCCACCACCGCTGGTGGCCCCGTGGGGATAGGGAAGGGACACGAGGACTCACGGGGTCCATGGTGAAGGCGCAGCGGCTCCAGTCCAGTGAGGCCCCCAGGGTGCGCAGCTGGCGTAGGATTTCGTCACCGTGCCTGGGGGTGACGAGTCCCCAAGGTGTCCCCAACCCACGTTTCGTGTCCCCAATCCACTTTTTGGGTCCCCAACTCCTTCCTAACACCCTTCTGCTGTCCCCAACCCACGTCTTTGTCTCCAACTCCCTCCCAACGTCTTGCTGGTGGCCCCAACCCATGTCTCGTGTCCCCAACCCCTTCCCAATCTCCTTCCAGTGTCCCCAACTCATGTCCCCAACCCATGCCTTCTGTCCCCAGTCCCTTCCTAACATCTTTCTGCTGTCCCCAAACCACGTTTTGTGTCCCTAACTCCTTCCTAACACCCTTCTGCTGTCCCCAACCC